TGAATAAATATAGGGTAGAAATTGGATAAATTAAAAAAGAATTGTTTGAAGCTCAAACCTATGAACCTTAAATGCATTTAGCAGAACAAAATCTTGAATTTCACTAAATTCTCAGGGCTGAAGACGACTGATTCACAAATTCCACTAAAAACACTGCTACTTTAACATAGGCTGTGTCCACGCTGCAGAAATAATCAAGTCTGACACCACTTTAACTGCCATGGCTCAATGCTAAGGAATTCTGGGAGCTATAGTTTGTTGCGGCACCAGAGTGGAGCTCTGGTGCCATACACACACACAAAAAAAATACAGTTCCCAGAATTCAGTAGCACTGAGTCATGGCAGTTAAAGTGGTGTCAAACTGGATTATTTCTGCAGTGTGGATGCAGCCATAGTTTTAAAAAACAACAACAACTGTTTCTTCTTCCACTCAAAGAATGCCCCCCATATAAACACCTCTGTGAGTACCTGACTCCAAAACTCTGGTTTGACCATTTCTATTTCTATCCCCCCAAAAAGAAGGAAGGAAGATCACATGGAGAGCCTGGTTCATACGATTTGCATGGTGTTGGGGAGACATCTACTGTACTGCAGAGCTGGAATTTCACTTTAGAGAAACTATATGACCTAAATCAGGGTATTTCATTAATGCACTACTAAACTTGCTACGAAGGGGTGCAGGTGGTGTATAATAAGCTGATGATAAGCACCCCTGACAGTCCTGCTAAGGGTGGTCCATGTCACTCACATGGCCTGCTAGTTTGGGTTTCAATCTAAAGGGGCAATACAATTCCTGCTAACCTCCAAGATTTTTGTTGTTGTTGTATACCTTCAAGTAGTTTCTGACTTATGCCAACCCCAAGGTGAACCTATCATGGGGTTTTCCTGGCAAGGCTTATTCAGAGAAGGTTTGCCATTGCTTTCCCCTGAGGCTGAGAGCATGTGACTTGCCCAAGGTCACTGAGTGGGTTTCATGGCCAAACTGGGAATTGAACCCTGGTCTTCAGAGTCAGAGTGCAATGCTCAAACCACTATGCCATGCTGGCTACTTAATAATTAATCTTTTTTTCCCTCCTATAGGATGTCTTCTCATATAATTTTAGTACTCCTTGATAGCTGACGTGTGCATTCTTCATTGCAGGTTGTATCTCTGTCCTGGTGACAGTGCCACAAACTGAGCGATACACAACTTTATTTGCCTCTGTGGTACTCAGGTGTGACTACAGTACCTCAGCACAACTGCAGGATGTCGTAGTTACCTGGCGTTTCAAATCCTTTTGCAAGGATCCCATCCTTGACTACTACACTTTTGGTGAGTGCTTCTGTTTGCTGTTGACATCACCAGTATAAAGCATTACTCTCTCCCAACTAAAAGAGGGTCTGTGAATTCATGAATGTTTGTGATTACGTTGCATTATACAGTAATGTAATCTTGTTGTTCTTTCTAAAATATATATATATATTTTAAAAATATTATTACAAACTAAGGCAAGAAGAGAAGAGGGGGGGAAAGAAGAAAGAGAGGAAAGTGTGTAAGATACGAACATGGGCTAGGACAGTGATGGCAGACCTTTTAGCGACTGAGTGCCCAAATTCAGTGGCGTTCACCCAATGCTGGGCAGTTGCTTCTGGAGGTGGGACTTCTTGGGTGGGCAGACTTCCAGGGAGGGACTTTGGGGGGATGTGACTTCTGAGGGGGAACCTAAGGTACACTGTCTCAGCCTCAGGCTGGCATTAGCAAGCCCTCTCCTCTGATGAAACTTGCCAAGAAAACCCCATGATAGTTTCACCTTAGGGATGCCAGGAACGACTTGAAAGCACACACACACACACACACACACACACACACCACACTCTCTCAGCTTCAGGCTAGCAATAGCAACCCCCCTCTGATAAAATGCTTCCTCCTCCTCCTCCTCCCTCCTCTCATCAGTGGCAGATGGGTCACTGGAGGCATGGGGCCATCGCTTCCTTTTCCTCCTCCTCTTCCTCCTGCCTCGTCTTCCTCTCTCCCTCCCTCTCGGCTCTCGTCAGCAGTGGGCAGGTGGCTAGTGGCGTGGGACTACTGCCGCTGCCACCACTCCCTCTTCCTCTTCCTCCCTTCTGGCTCTCATCAATGGAGGGCGGGTGCCCTTGGGCATGGCGCTGCCACTGCCTCTTCCTCCTCCTCTTCCTCCTCCTCTTCCTCCTCCCTCCCTCCCAGCTCTCACCATGGATTTAGTGGATTTAATACCTTGATATGTGACTCAATAAAATCATCATAGTCCTCCTTCTGATGTTACAAATATGTCAGAATGTAGAATTTGTTGCTGTTGTTCTCACGGTATTTTGTTTTTTGTTTTTAAATCCAAAAATTTCTGTTGCTCCAAACTATTTTCTTGAAGTTCCCAGTACCAACTGCAGCATTTTATTCCCACACTCAAATGGGTTTCTTTTTAATTTCAAGATAATATGTTTCCCTTTTTCTCCTCCTTTAATTTTTTTTAAAAAGAGATGTATAGTTGTATTGTACATTAATGAAGTGGCACCCATGCTCTAAAACTCTGTACATCTAAAAAAATTAATTCGGGAAGGATACATTTTACCCTTCAAACCACCTCCGCAAACAACACCCTGGCTTTTAAAAAGATTCCTATTGCAGATGTAAGAATTTTCTACAGACACTCCTCTCCTCCAAAGAAATGAATGAGAGACTTGAGAACAAGCAGTAAAACCTGTCAAAATCCAAGGATTTATACTTCAAGAATTCAAACTTCTTTAGACCAACATGAATGAGCCCTTTCCTGATACTATATGAACTACTAGTACATTACAGTTGTGTAGAGTCTAAGACTCTAAGGGATACAGACGGTATGCCCAGATAGAATTGAGAGTTCAATATAGTAAAGATCCTGGTGGCAATAGTACCATGAGAGGACTGCAAGAATAATGAAAAGCTATGTTCAGCTCTCACATCTATACATGGTCATGGGGAAAACAATGGCTTGGACTATCCCTGCTTTAGTGTTCAGCTTTATATCTTTGCACTTAGGATTGTTAAACACTCTTTGAAAAATGGGAGCGCCAATACATTTGATTGTCCTGATTAGAAAACTATTAGGATATGAGGGTACATATGAACTATTAGGATATGAATAGCAGGTTTAGACTTGGAAGAAGGATGAGTGAAGATAGGAGGAAGGAGCATCAACAGTTTGAAGATATGCAGGCAACCAATGGCATCCCTAATGTTGGTGTAACTCAGTGCTGGTGCCTGGTGGTGCTGGGAGCGGCACGCCAGCTACCCAACAGCCCACCCAGAGAACTGCTCAAGTGATGGATGGGCAAACAAGCAGGGGCTCCCTGAGGCTTAGACTCTGCTGACCCGCATCGATGCCTCTTCTCAGGTCCTAAAGGGCTGCAGCCTTACCAGGCAATGCAGCAAAACCCTCAGGGCCCTGTTTCCCTCAGGCAGGACACCTCCACAGTGTGAGAAAGAATCTGGCAGTGCTAGAACCACAAGGAATTTGGCAGACCAGCCTCTGGTACTGGCTGTCTGGGGAAAAGCTGCTGGGAAGGCAGGGCTGGAACCTGGCCAGAAGAGCCCTGGAGGCATCTCTGCTATGACTGGGGCAGGGTTGGAAATTAAAGGCCCCTTGTCCTGATGCCATGTAACTCCTCCCTGCTGATCCCCTCAACAAGGCTGCCAGTTTGGATCACCTGGCCCCAGGCTCGAGGGTGGCACCAGCTGATGGATTGACCCAAACAAATAGCTCCTTGGCTGACTAGCGGGCATGCTTTCCAGGCAGAGGTGGCACAGTGCAGCACTGGATGGTACAAGCACTGCAACTGGGCAGGCCAGAGGTGTCTGGGGGACCCTGGAGTGCTCCACCCTGCCCCACCAGCCCTGGCATTAAGTAAGGCATTAGGGAAGGTGGGTGGGTGTATGTATGTATGTATGTATGTATGTAAGCTTGCTTCTCTTTCCCCAATGCTTTGGCCAGCCAAAGCACCCGGGATAGTTGGGAAAAGTGCATGCATGCAATCACTCCCCCCTTCTCTGGGCCCAGAGTGTCAGGGTAGCAGGGAAGGAGAGAGGGGCATATGCTTCTCTCTCTTTCTCTGCTGCCTCATCCTTCAGATAAGTGGTGCTCCCCTGCAGCGGGAGGAGGGACCCTGGTATCACCTTTCCTTTGCAGGGTCACCAGGAGTGGTCCTCACCCACCCACATGCCAGTGACGCCACTGCAGAGAACACCATACTACTAGCAGAACAACAAAGACTTGGAATAATTATTAAGGAAAATTAAAGAAATATCTCCTCTGGGAAGCTATATGACCTTCCTAAACAGGGTGGGATGTGGCATGAAGAGTTATTAGGGAAGGGGAAGATACCATGGCAAAATCAGGCAAAGGCTCTTTGTCCAAGTGGTGTTAATTATTAATATTAAATGAATCTCCCATTACTGTCATGCCATTTATTCCATTTGACAGCCAGTACTGTAAATTGCAATGGCATTGGTAGGTCTTGAGTTGATTGGTAGTCAGGGCCTTTTGATATGTTTGGGATCAAAAAACACTAATGATTTCTGTGACTAAACCATAAATATCTAGCATATACCACCTTTTTCTCCTCATTCTGAGACAGCTCTTGGGGGTGCAACCTTCATTCGAATTGTGAGTGATAGCTTTGTCATCTTTTCCAGATGTATCCCAGTGTCATCCCAAGAGCTTTTCCTATTTCCCTAGGGGAGTTTGCAGAATCTTACATACTACCAGAATCTGTTACCTCATAATTTCATTTGTTATTTCTGCCTCATCCCATGCTATCTTTCTCTTGCTGCCACTGATGAGGGGAAGTGTAAAATACTATAGATTTGTTTTGTGAACTTCCGGTTGATGATCATGGTAGGATGACATCCCTTGTGCATGTTCCATGACAGGGAAAGCTTCAGGTGCTGAGACCACTGGATGGGAAGCAAGCTCTGGCCAGTGAAACTTTTCCCAGAGAAGGAAAGCACATGAGATAGCCCACACATGTCCTGGAATCTTTCTCCCCACATGGAGACCACTTAAATTGCACCAGTTAGGCACATATAAAAGAGTGGTTTTCTTTAGGGCTTTTAAAGTCAGTTACTCTACTCTTATTTAAGGCAGCATTAATTTTGAACCTTACCACTTTGTCTGCAGCCTATCAGGCAAGCTTAGCTCTTGGCCAGGATCCTTCTAATGATTGCAATGACAACCAACGGGAAGTGCGAATTGTTGCTCAGAAAAGGGGGCAGAATGAACCTGTGCTGGGTATCGATTACAGACAGCGGAAGATCACCATTCGAAACAGTAAGTGTTTGCTGGGACATTGAAAGTAAAGTGAAAATGAACAAGCCTAGTAATTGTCTAATCCATTATGGAAATGATATAGTGAAATATGGTTTTGACCATCCCAGTTTCTTCTGGGTCTTCATAAAATGATAAGCTAATGCATCATTAAAAAACAACAACAATACTTAAAGATAAAGTAACAGGAGAGTTAGAACAGTGTGCATAGTTTTTATAGTATTTCTTTTCCCAGGATAATTGCTCTATAGCAACTAACTATCTTTAATAAAAAGGCTCATTTAAGGGTGTACGAATTCTAGAAATTATGTGGCTCATGAAACACCCTTGGAAAAAACCAGAGAAACATCTCCATGTGTTCAATTGATAGAGATTTTCATTGATAAAAACCCCTAATGCATTTCAGCCTATATATGCTCTCAAAAACATATACAGTGGTACCTCTACTTACGAAATTAATCTGTTCCACAG